TCTGCTGTTCTTTCTTCCAGCAAACCCTGGCTCTCTACGAAAAGAAACCAAAAGGAGCAAAAGAAACTCTGCCCATGATGCAGCCAAAGCAGAATCACGCATGCGGAAGAGGGAGTAGTCTTATACAGCAAGTATATAACAAACTCTACATTCTGAGTGGGAATGTTGGGGGGGTCGTCTTACACGCCCAGTCGCCTGTATGTATGTATGTATGTATGTATGTATGTATGTATGTATGTATGTATGTATGTGTGTATGTATGTATGTGTGCGTGCGTGCGTGCGTGCGTGCGTGCGTGCGTGCGTCCGTGCGTCCGTGCGTGCGTGCGTATGTATGTATGAATGAATGTATGCATGCATGTATGTATGTATGTATGCATGCATGCATGCGTGTGTGTGTGTGTGTATATGTATATGTATATGTATATACATACAGTATATATAGATGCATATTCATATACATATTTGTATAGTCCCTGTTTTTAGCTTTAAATATTGTCTTTTAATGATGTAAATTAATTGGATCCTTTTAAAAGAGAAAGATGGGGCAAATCTCTCTCTCTCTCTCTCTGGCATTTCTGAGATGTTGCAGAGGGATATAAAAGTTTAGGCATAGTTATGAATTGTAACCATAGAAAAGTGAAGTTGGAAGGGGCCTACAAGGCCATCAAGTCCAACCCCCTGCTCAATGCAGGAATATAGTCAAAACATATCTGCCAGGTGATTGTCCAAGTTTTTTTTTTTTAAATGCCTCCAGTGCTGGAGCACTGTCCAACTCCCAAGGTAACTGGTTCCACTGTTGTACTGCTCTAACAGTTTGGAAGTTTTTCCTGATATTCAACTGAAATCTGGCTTCCTTTAACTTGAGCCCATTGTTGCATGTTCTGCACTCTGGGATGATCGAGAACAGATCTTGACCCTCCTCTGTAAGACAACCTGTCAACTATTTGAAAAGTGCTATCATATCCCCCCTCTGCCTTCTTTTCTCAAGGCTAACCATGCCCAATTCATTCAGCCTTTCCTGATATGGCTTGGTTTCCAGCCCTCTGATCATCCTTGTGACCCTCCTCTGAACTTGTTCCAATTTGTTAGCATCCTTCTTGAAGTGTGGTATCCAGAACTGAACACAATACTCAAGGTGAGGCCTAACCAGTGCTGAATAGAGGGGAACTAGCACCTCATGGGATTTGGAAACTGTACTTCAATTAATGCATCCTAAAATAGCATTTGCCTTTTTTGTAGCCACATCACACTGTTGGGTTATATTTAGCTTGCAGTCTACGACAATTCCAAGATCCTTCTCGCTTGTAGTTTTTCTGAGCCAGGTATCCCCCATCTTGTAACTGTGCAATTGGTTTCTTTTTCCAAGGTGCAGGATTTTGCACTTATCCCTGTTGAATTTCATTCTGTTGCTTTCAGCCCAGTGCTCCATCCTGTCAAAGTCATTTTGAATTTTGTTTCTGTCTTTTAGGGTATTAGCTCTTCCGCCCAATTTGTTATCATCTGCAGATTTGACAAGCATTCCCTGCACTCCCTCATCCAAGTCAATAATAAAAATATTGAAGAGCACCGGGCCCAGGACGGAGCCTTGGGGTACCCCACTAGTTACCTCCTCCCAGTTAGAGAAGGACCCATTAATCGTACCCTCTGAGTACGAATCTGTAGCCAATTGTGTATCCACCTGACACTTGATCTATCCAGCCCACACCTAGTTAGCTTGCTAATCAGATGCACTTTATCAAAAGCTTTGCTGAAGTCAAGATATACTACGTCTTCAGCATTTCCTCCGTTTTTGACCTGAGAACTTTTTGACTTGAGAACTGCCTTCCAATACGGATTAAGTTCTCAAGTCAAGACCCCACTGTAGTTAGCTTGCTAATCAGATGCACTTTATCAAAAGCTTTGCTGAAGTCAAGATATACTACGTCTTCAGCATTTCCTCTGTTTATCAGGGAGGTGACCTGATATAAAATGAGATCAAGTTAGTTTGGCAAGATTTGTTCTTGACGAATCCATGTTGGCTTCTAGTTACTATTGTGTTGTTTTTTAGGTGCTTGCACAATGACCGCTTTACGATCTGTTACAGAACTTTGCCTTAGATAGAGGTAGCTAACTTCTTATGCATCACACCATTGCCCTGCGACTTTCCTGCTTATCTGAACATTTTTTTGTGTTTGACTCCTCATTTCGCTATCCACTTCCATGAATCCATCAAAACCCGCAGTTCATTTTTGTCCAGATATTACCCCAAAAGACCAGGAGGCCTTCTGATCTTTTGGTGTACAACTTCTGTCAATCTCACCAATGATGGGGATTAAGGGAAGGGCAAAGATTCCCTGTCGCCACTTGCAGCAACTTAGAGGGAACCACCTTGTGTCTGTTTGTTGGGATAAATTGTTGGAAGAACCTAAGAACTCTGATCAGTTACGTTTGCTTCTGCCTTGTACTTCATCACGTTATGGATTTCATTTTGAGATGCTTATAAACATACATTCTGGCAAGCTTTAGGATGAGTAACTAACTGGAGGGTTGCTCAACACTATATCCGCCGGCAGAGGAAACTACTTCGTTTAGAGTCCTTGAACATGTTGTGCTTTCAGCTGATAAAAATCTCCCCTTGGCTTCATTGGTTTGGAACCTTTTAATTTTTTTTATTACCTTTCTGCCATGGGAAACTGGCTCTGAATTTTGCAGTGGCTGGTTTTAAGTGAGCTATCATTCCAGAGTTATTGGAGAAGATGGCCCTAGCCCTGCACTTGCATCTTACCTCACTAGTGAAATGTTTCTCTCACTTCTCCTGAACATCAGATTTATTTGCAATGAAAGGAAATCGATTAAAAGTAAAGAAAAATTTAGAGGCAAATCCTCCCCAAAGGTATATAACACAACTGTTATTGACTTCAGGAGGATGCGGAGTACTTGAATTTCGTCCTTAAACAGAATGAACAGAGTTGAAGATGTAGAATGATACAGAAATAGATCACAGTGCAGTTTGAGCTCTTGGTCCCGCGTCATTTGTGGTGCTTTAAAGGGAACCTGTTAGATGCAGAAGGTGTGTGTTTGTTGTGTGTGGGTAGGTCTTGTGAAGTGACTGTTTAATAATGACATTTCAGATCATTCTAAAGGAAGTGTGTGGTTTTGTGCTTTTATTGGACAAGTTTCGGTCTAGCCTTGTGCTTGGAGATTTCCTCTAACTCAGACAATGGAGCATATGCAGACTATCCCAGCTTCTACCTCCAGCAAACTCTTGGTTAATGGCTATCAGAGCAGATATTGTCACTGACCCTTCTTACTGTTAGACTTTAAATAAACAAAGATAGCCAGTGATGGATTAAGTGGAATGCCCTCCATGTCAGATAAAAGCCAGATGAGAAGGATTTCCTGGAAAAGTGAAGCCTTTGACAAAATTTACCATATTTTTCCCCCTGGGGGTTTGAGGAACATTTGAAGGACACTGAAATATTGGTTATCAAATTTACAATTTGCCTCACTGCTTTAATGGTATAAAATGCATTATAATTTAATAAAATTGTTCTATTTGCCACAATAGTAGATCTTACAGAGCATTTTTGCTCATGAGCACTCATAAGTAAGACGAACAGTGACTAAAATCCTGTTGCTTAGCTCAGTTAGAGTAGGTCCACTGAATCAGTAGGAATTTGGAGAGTCAGTTCCTCCATGAGTTCCCTGGATTCAATGAGCAGAGATTAGTTGTGAATTTACCCCAGGTAATCCTGTTGGTTGAAGGGACGTGGTGCTGCGGGTTAAACTGCAGAAGCTTCTGTGCTGCAAGGTCAGAAGACCAGCAGTCATAAGATCGAATCCACATGACGGAGTGAGCACCCGTCACTTGTCCACGCTCCTGCCAGCCTGGCAGTTCGAAAGCATGTAAAATGCAAGTAAATAAATAGGTACCACCACAGTCGAAAGGTAACGGTGTTTGGAAGGTAATGGTGTTCTGTGTCTAGTTGCGCTGGCCATATGACCACAGAAACTGTCTATGGGCAAATGCTGGCTCTATGGTTTGGAAACAGAGATGAGCACCGCCCCCTAGAGTTGGACACAACTGGGTTAAATGTCAAGGGGAACCTTTACCTAATCCTGTTGTGTCAAGTTGGAGGTCTTTATAGTGTTATCAACAGTGGCTATCATCTTATTCTTGTATTATTTATGTTGGCCATACATATTATGAAGTCTCAAGAGGTAGTGTTGCAGATACTGTGGACCTCCAGGAAGATAAATGAATGGATTCTAGATCAAAACAAGCCTAAAATGGACAATGACTAAACTGAGTCTATTGCATTTTGGACGTATCACAGGAAGCTAAGACTCACTGGAAGAAACAATAATACTGATTGGAGATGAAGGTAGTAGGAGATGATACAGGCTTTCATCTCACTAAATGAGATGGATTTATTTGATAAGGGAACCCACAACTTTGACTATGCAAGGCCTGAACAGGATCTTAGAGTGGGTAGGATTGGCATAATTGCTAGTGACTTCATGGCATAACAAGGAGTAACTCGTGTCTCCACTAGAGTGACAAAATATTTTAGGGAGAGATGTCAAAAGATCTAGAAGATTGTTATCTTCTAACCCAGGAGGCTTTAGGGTGTGCCATTGAAGAAGATCAGGCTGAAGCTGCTTCTCAGAAAGGGACACAGCTAAGTGTGGTTCCAGCCAATTGGAAAAAGGAAATCAGTAGATACTCACAAATTACTGTACATGGACCAAGTTGCTGTATATGGGCAAGGGAAGTAAAATCAGCATTTTTAGTGAATCCTGTCTGCATTACATGAAAAATCTAAATGGTCAAAAAACACAATAGCTGTAGTGTTCAATAGTAGTTTATAAGGTGAAAAGCTATATAACCAAAAACATTTCTAGTGTAATACTAGTGTAGATGTGCAAACTGTAAAGAAACTAGTTTATTTTCTTCCTCCCCATCTCTGCATTATCCTTTCTGAAGGAAAGTGTATCCTTTCTGAAGGAAAGTGAAGTATGTTGGGTACACAGTCTGCATTTATGGGTGGCGTCACAGAGGTATGTGGTAACTTTGGAAGGGGGTGGGAATGGTTAATGAAAAATATACTGGAAAGAGATAAGTGATGAAATGAGAAATATCTTGACCAGTTTTTCCAGCATAACAACTTGGTTTTTTTTAAATTAAAAGATCAATGCATTGTGAAAATTATGCTCTCTTTTCTTTGCTAGAGGGAGCTTGATGCCACAGCAACAGTGTTGGCAAACCGACAAGATGAAAGTGAACAATCAAGAAAGAAACTTATTGAACAAAGCCGCGAGTTCAAGAAAAACACTCCAGAGGTGAGTGGCAATTGGATTCCACAGCTCTTAGGCTTCCTTGCATAGCAACCTGCAAATAGAGGGTTTTCTGTAAGAAGGCTTTTGAGGGGCTTGTACTTCCTTCGACTCATCCTTGGTGAATAGGATATATATAACCTTCTGAATGGTATCTACCTCAGGGCAGCCTTTGGATCTGTTCATTTTTTCTGTGGAAAAATGTTGTTTGCTTTACCTCTTTCGAAAAATATTTAGTTTCTAAACTATTGTTGTTTCATAAAATAAATTCACAGCAGAATGACATGATTTCTTTTAAAAATAGCTTTCTAAATAAATGTTAAATAAATCCTGTCAGCCTCTCCATTGTCTTTATTGTCTGGGAATGATCAGGCTTATCTTTCAGTACATCTGGAAAGTGCTTGAAGTGGAAATGCTGTCATGATGTGGGGAGTCCAGTTAATTTAGGATATCAGGGAAGGAAGACCCACATCACAGAAATTATATGTAACTGAGCTATCAGTTCCTTTTTTTTTCTTCCAGTGGACCTATTTGTATTCATCTTGCTTTCCATATGGAGTAACTTTGTGTTCATAGCCGTTAAGTGTCACTGTAAACCAGTGTTGAAGTCTTTCAAGTGTATAGAATTGTTGCCAGTTTGAGTTACGATGGTCTACTCACCTGCAGTAGCTGGGCCATTTTACAGTATGAATTTTTTTTTTAAAGAATTTTACTGATTTCCTGTGTTGCAGTTTAGGAGCTTAAAATACGAAAAGTGAGTGATCAATGTAGTGACAAAATTATTCTAGTGCATTTTATGCATTATCTTTATCACATATCGAAAGACGGCAATCTTAATGGCCTTAAGCCGCACTTGAGAGGTTATTCTGCATGCAGGTGTTGTGGTTTTGCAGAATCAACAAGGATAGAGCAGGGATTGTTTTGCTTTTGTGAGTACACGAGTTATGCAAAGTCAAGCATGGGTCCATCTATACTCCAGCTGTTTTGCTTTATATTTTCTTGCCATTCAGACTGGAGTGGCAGAACATGTTCACTAGTTACGGAATGTTCCTGGTGCAATTTGCCAGATTTTCCTTTAGAAAACCTAGGTCATCATGGGGACTGAATGTACCGTTGCCAGGATCCTTAAGAGAGGTTCTGCTCATCTTGTTTGCCAGTGCATGACTATGTACACTAATATTGAGGTTCAGTATAAACCAGCCTTCCAAATCTGTTTGCCATCCAAGATTATTGTGATGCAGTCTGGGTTCAGATTGTAGCAGACAGTTGAATTGCTTGGCTTCAGAGATACGGCTTTTGAGAAATGAAGTTAGCAGCCTCTCTTTGTTTCTCACTCCTGCTAGAATTTGCAAGTAGGAAAAAAAGGAAGCTTTTTGAGATATAAGAGGGAAGATTTGGCCTCTCCATAACTCAGAGAGATAAAAGTTACAGAGTCTGGGAGGAAGAGGATTTCAGAAGACAGATGGGATGACCAGGAGGCAGGTATAGGGATGCCTTCCCCAAAGAATGCTGGATGCAATAAGTCAGGGGAATTAATGTTATCTTCAGCCCATTTGGCAGGTTGGGAGGGATGGAGAAAACAAATAGAATTTGAACATGTGACTGGCCTCATTTCCCTCTTTTGCTTTTTATTAATCCAGTCATTTCATTCTCAGTTCCTTGCATCCTCTTTCTATCTGCAGAAGTGTGCAGTTAATGATACAAGTATTTTCTTAAAATAGGTTGGGTAGGTATCCTGAAGGACTTGGTGCCTCTTTTTATCACTGCCTGATGAGGAGGCTGCCATGTTCTAGATGAGCCTTTGCTGAACAACACAACCTGTGTGGCACTCAATGACCTTCTTAGTAGACTCTCCCTGAACAGAACGGTTTGTTCTGTCTCAGCATTTTATTAATTTATATCTGTTCTTTTTAAAATTACCACAGGATTGGTAATAATTGGTTAACTAGTTATATGGTGGACGTGGTGGCATTGCGGGTTAAACCACAGAAGCCTCTGTGCTGCAAGGTCAGAAGACCAAGCAGTCGTAAGATCGAATCCACACGACAGAGTGAGCTCCTGTTGCTTGTCCCAGCTTCTGCCGACCTAGCGGTTCGAAAGCACGCAAATGCAAGTAGATAAATAGGTACCACCTCGGTGGGAAGGTAATGGTGTTCCGTGTCTAGTTGTGCTGGCCACGTGACCACGGAAAACTGTCTTCGGACAAAAACGCTCACTCTATGGCTTGGAAACCGAGATGAGCACCGCGCCCTAGAGGCGGACATGACTGGACTAAATGTCAAGGGCAACTTTTACCTTTACCTAGTTGTATGTTGATTAAGTGCCATAAAATGTGGCAGTAATATTTAAAAATAAGATGAGATGGATTAATTCCCCTTGGATTTATTTGCAGTTACTATAACTGCCTGGATGAGAACTGAATGCTCAGAGGCAGTTGGGGCATATAGTGAGTAAAGAACTGGTTTATTCATACTCATCTCATGTACGAGGTCTTGGGACAGCCATCACTCCCTTCTGAGTGGAGAGTGGCTTTTTTTTTTTTTTTTTTTTTGGCAAATTGGCATTTATTCTCTTTAGCACAGAAATAATTTGAAGTCTGTGGTAAGAAGAGAAGAAAAGACAAAGCACCCCATGTATCTTAATATTGGGTCTTTCTAAGGAGCAAGGTGGGGTAAAGATATTTTAAACCACCAAATAAAATAACTTTCTAGTCTGTCTAAAAAGGGAGGGGGGAAGTGATACTAGCATCTAGGAGTTTAAGTATTTTCTCAGTTGTTTGGTATGTGGTGTTGTCCTTAGTGGGAATGACTTTGTTGGTCTGTTGATATGGCTTACCTTTGACATTGGGCTGTGTAGGTATCTTAAGTTATGTTGATGCCTTGAGTGATACTCAAGTATTTAGTATCCCCACATATTCCTCTTTCTAGATGCTGTATGTGTAGTAAACTTTCTTCTGCTTCACATCCTTTTGAGGTGTTTCTTGAATCACCTGCCTATATGTTATGATTGAGAGAATTGAGAGAGCCCACATAGTGAAGTTTCACACCTTTTTACATTATGGAGTTATCTGTAGGTGAACTGTCAGAAAAATGTACTTTCCCCTCATTTGACACTCATCAAGCATTTTGGTTTTATCTTTTTGGCTTTTTGTGTCTTGTCATCGATCTATTTACAACCTTGGGTATATTTCATATGTTGATTAAGGGACTAAATGCTCCGCTTTACGATTGCCCCGCATTACGACGAAACCGCATTACGACAATGTTTTTGCGATTGCAAAACGATGGTCTGAATAGGCTTTTTCGCTTTGTGATGCTCGATTTCCTGCTTCAGGAACCGATTCTTCACAAAACAACAATTTTCCTACAGCTGATTGGTGGTTTCAAAATGGCCGCCGGGTAAATAAAATGGCTCCCCGCTGTTTTCTGGGACGGATGCCTCTCAAGACAGCCACAGAAAATGGCCGCTCTATGGAGGATCTTCGCTGGACTGTGAGTTTTTAGCCCATTGGGTTTTTTATTCAGTGGGTTTTTTATTTTTGCATTACAACATTTTCGTTCTGCAGCAATTTCATTGGAACTAATTAACGTCATAATGGAAGGCACCACTGTAGTAGATATTTATGGAGAGGGAAGAGGCTTATCTGTCTCAACAACCATGTACTTGATTATTATGCTTACTGTGTATGGAGACAAAGGACGCCACTCAGGCAAAAAGTCCCGACAGGACCATCTTGCACTATCTCAGGTGATTGCAAACAGTGGAAACAACTCTTATCAGAATCTAGGAGAAGATTGCTTAAACACACTGCTGGGATAGGGTGAAGTGCTTCCAAATTGAAAGTAAAACCTTGTGCTTAGAAAAATATCCAGCTTTAAGTCTGTTAGCTAAACTAAAGAGAAAAAAAGAAGAAGAAGAAAGCAAGAACAAAATATTGTGGCACTTTAGAGAGGTGAGCTTTCTTGGATCAAAAAAAGCTCACGCAACAAATTTGCTGGTCTTTAAAGTGTCGTCGTTTGTTGTCTTTGTCTGTTTTTCTTTCTTTTCTTTCCCTTTAATTTAGACAGCCTGCTGAGAAGGAATAAGATAGCTACTTCTTTCGAAAAATCTGTAAAAGTAAGCCTCAGCTCTGGAATTAGATATGGGGCCACTCCAGGTTGTACAGGGCCAGCGTTTCATGGTCCAGTCAGCAGACTGGCACCTGCATGTTGGAAATACAAATCTAATTACAGGATTTACTCAGCTACATTTGCATACTGGAACAGTGTGATGTTGTACCAGTGAGGTTCCTAGTCTTAGAAAGGGAGAACAAGGCACAAAGGGCACAGGGTTGAAAGCAGATTTTGTCTTAACATCGTTTGATTCCATGTGCAAAGCTGTGGCCAAGTCTCCTATACCCAGCAATCCTGCTTTGTCCTTCGTGTTCCTAAAGATAGTGGCAAAAGCTTTTAGATGTGAGGCAGCACCAGAATGTGAGTCTGTAGTAGGCAGCCAGAATTGGGGTGAATACCTTGAGATTGTTTCCCTTTTACGTTTTCCCATGGCAGGGTCTTTCCGCAGGTTAGTAGTTAAGTGTATCTCGGTCCCCAGCTGCCTGCCCGCTGCCATCGAAGATGCCCAGAGAGCTTTCTCAAAATCTGTTGCCACTAAGCTGGTATTTAGAAGAACCCCAGAGCAAAGCCAACAACATTCTGTTCAACTGTCAGTGGCTGTTAATGGCACTACAGACGGTGCTCTTGGGATGCTCTGGAGATAAAAAAGGAGACTCAATCAAGTAAGTTCTGTTTGTAGCACTCTTAGCAAATGCCCATCGTGTGTTCTGGGCTGTCATGTTTGTAGCTACAGAGAGAGATGAGGTGCCTTCAGGAACTGAAGTGAAGTTACCAGCCATCTCTGAGGCTTCATAATTGGGACCAGCTGCTTGAGCAGGAGAGAGACAACATCTGCAAAGACTGTGCTCCTGCTGGAAAAGTACTGCACATTTCACATGCAGTTACATGCCATTA